ACCAGGCAGACTTGCACACCCTAGGCCTGTGATCAGCAGTACTTTAAATCAATAATATTTTAAAAGTACTTGCAGTAATCATTCTAACACTGTAAGCAGCTGCTATCTGCAGAGCAGCACATTGTAAGTGAAGTTTTTAACCTGTGTGGAAGTAGGAAGACCTACTTCTGGACACTGTGAAGGGATGATATCTATTGCTCTGCTGCAATGAATGACATCTGGGAAATGTTATTGCTTTACTTGTTTTTCTCCTTGGTAAAGAGCAGAAAACCAAGAATCAAAGCAATTGAAAGGGAGGTAAAGATCATTAAATTCTGCAGATTTATGTACAGAACAAATAAAGTTTGAATATTTTTGTATTTCATGGGAAATGTTGAATCCTGGCGAGTCATGTAGTTGAAGCATACTTTGGATGCAGAATAAGGAGCATGATCCTCTCTCTTCCCTCCTTCCGATCCTGAACTCATCTTTAGCAACAAAACTCATCTTTCCCATCCCTGTAAAGCACTGCTGCTTTTAATCCCAGTTGAAGTGTAATTTGGAAAAAGGACAAATGATCTCATAACCCACCTTACTCCCTCTCTTGCGATGCTCAGAGTTTAGCTACTGGGGTTGTGGTATCCCAGCAGCTTTGGCTCCTGAATTCTTTTCACACTGATACATGTCAAGCATAACTGGTTATATTATGTTCACTGGTAAAGCCAAATGGGAAAAATTTCAGCTGACACAAGAGCATGTTGGTTTATCTGCTGAAGCCAGAGTACCTGCGTGTAGACAGCTTGGGGACCTCCATCCACTCCCCCAGAACATCTCTCTGGATAAATACTGGGAGCTGCAACAGCAAGTGCTCATCTTCATGCTTGCTTTTGAGCTCTGCATGCAGCTCAGCGGGTGCCATTCCCTCAACTACTGTTCTGGTCTCCCCTCTTCAAGTGTTTTGTAGTAAAGTCATACAAGAGGTTTCCTCAAATGCTTCATCATCCTTGAGAGAAAAGAAGCATCAAGTTCCCCATGCCTTGAGAACAAGCCTCCACTCTCTCTGCTCTTTCTGCTCTTAAATGCACACACATCTCTTGTAGGCCTGAAGGCAAAAGCTCTTAAAAGGAAAGAAAAAGAAGATATTTCACTGCCACAAGGGATGAAACAATGGAAAACCATTGGAGGAGCCAGTCTCTGGTCCTGGAGCATCCATTACTGCTGTGGCTGGTGGCATTATTCTTCTTGTTCCCTTCTAGGTAGCTCCTGCACTAGGGCAATGGATGTTCCCTGGCATTGTACTCTGAGTTTGATGAAGTGGAAACTGTCTTCACTGTGGCAGGAACATTGCTCGCTACAAGCAAAACAATAGTTGTCATCCTCCCTCTTCCCCTCTTTGCCTTATTTTGGTATACATTTAAAGAAACCAAAACCAGTCTGTCATTTCAGTAGTTTCCCCAGGCACTTCCCATGTGCTATTTGTAACTCTTGCAAGTTCAATGCAGGGTGTAGAGTTAGAAAAATAATTCCTTGGATGTGAGTCTGGGGTATTTTTTACCTCTCAGAGCATGTAGATGACTTGTTAATACTGATGAGGCATGCAGCAGGTAGAGGGAAACCCCTTGGAAGCTGAAAACCAGCATTACAGGAATGTGAGTCTGGCACGTTTTTGTTGATCTAGTAAATAAAAAGCAGTGAAAACAGGAAAATCTGAATATTTTTTAAATGGTCTGTTAGGATCCCTACACTGTGGTTTCCCTACCCAGTTTAGGGCAAGAAACAAGTGTATTTGGTGAAGTGCTGCATGAAGGAAGGAGAGTGTTGACAGCAAATGTGCCCCCCCCTCCCCCCCCCCCAACTTCCACATGCATCTTGGGAGCAAGGCTGCAAGAAAGGGCTGAGAGTTGGGCACACGGGAAGAAATGGCGATTTAAAAGCTCTGCAGGTCAGAAGCAGGGTAAAGTAACCACAGATTACTAAAACAGATGAAGATTTATAGAAATTGTCAAAGGAATGCTGTGCCCTTGGCAAGCGATGAGAAAAAAAAAAATCCTGAAAGGTGGCTGAGCAAAAGCAGTTAAATTAAAACCATCTTTGTGACCGAGTCTGAGGAAGAAAACAGCTGGCAGGGGCTGCAGCGCCTCGCACAACCCAGGCTGGGGCAGCCTGGGAGCACCCCCAGTGCTTTGTTTGGTTCCTGCTGGTGCGTGGAGCCAAAGTCACTGCTCCGTACAGCACAGCACGGGCAAGGAAAGGGGAGGCAAAGGAAAAAGGAATTTTCTCAAGCTGCCCCAGTCATGCCTCAGCTGTGCTCTGGAGGAAAGGGACTAAAGCTGAAACTAATTTGGAAATAATGAAAAGTGTATCTTAGAGAATTTGCAAGAATAGACTGAACTGGATTTCAGGGCAGCTTGAATGAGAAGCATTCAGTTTTAATAAATTATTAAATGCTATTAAGAAACAATATTGATAAATCATACATAATTTATAAATACTTATGTAATAGTCTATTTTTCTGCTAACAAAAGAATAGAGCCAGTTTCTCATACTGTGACCCCCTATTTTAGCTTAATTAATAAGCTATCCAGAAACGGATCATTTCTCAGATCAGAGTGGGTTAAAGGTGTGTACACTGACCTACAAAAGGATGGATATTTAACTCAAATGGAGAAAAAACAGCAGAAATCAGATTTTGTTGATGCAATTTGAAAGGAACCTGTGCTAGCAGTAGCCTCTTTGGAGGTATAAAAAGCATATTTCCTCATATTAGTGTATTTACCTTGTTTCTGTAAGTGTTTAATGTGAGGCTGAAAAATTGGGAAGGAATGGAACAGCCAAAAAGCAGCTTTTCTTACAGGTGAATTAAAAAAAGAGAGGCAGTAATGTACTAGTTCTAAATTCTTGTAGGATAGAAAAAGTAGAAAAAATATTAGCTCCACTCTTCATATAAAGTAATATTTGTCCTCAATATACCTGTTAGCTTCAAAGACAGGGTAGATGAGAAAAAGAGGATTGCCTATTCATGTGGTGATGGAAACATGAACAGGATCTGCAATGGCTGGGGAAGGGAGAATGGAAATCCCTTTAGCACTGCTGGTAAATAAACCCCTGTTTTATGCTTTCAAACATATATCTTCATTCTTTATTAATTCAGTAGAGTTTACCAGCTTTTATCTCAACCAAAAATATATATAATTTTTAAATTCATTTTCACAGAATTCTCATTGTGGTTACACACAACTTGGTAGGCATTATTAGTTTGAAGAGTCTTTATTAATATAAAAGAGATGGTAATGAAACGTTTGCACTAACTGAAGTAGGTATAAAATAAAAGACAATCAAGTTTAATGTGTACTTCTCAAATGGGCATCACAAATCCAACAAGTACCAAATTTAAAGACTAAAATTAAGACTAAAATTGCTTGCTCATTTCTTCCTATTGAGAACTTTGTTTCTTAAAAAAAACCCCAAAACCAAAAACAGACCAAAGAAATTGAAACAAAAAATTTCAAAAAACTGGACTGAAGACCAGTCTTTCAGCTACTGATTAACTTCATGCCAGTGAACAGGCCTTATTGCTCCAGATGTTGAAACACTAAACCATACAGGTCCAGCTACTGGATTTCAAGATCCATCTTTACATTGAAACATCCCAAAAGGGCTGTTCAGCCTCTGAGCACCCCAGGGATGCTGTGCTCTCCTGCTGTGACGGCCAAGGCCAAGCTGAGGATGTATCTCCACAGCTTAGCCTTGGACATCACAGCAGGAAAGCAAAGCTGCTGCATTGCTCATGCTAAGATGAAAAGAGGAAAAGATCAAGTTCATACAAACATTTCCTTTCTCAGCTCTCTAGACTTTATTTTTCCAGTTTAACTTGCAGCAAGCCTTCCAAACACAGTTCAAGGCCAGAACATGTGGCGAATGTTCATTTCAGGTCCATTTTCCAATAAGATGGAGCTGTTTGTCTTTGGCACATGTGCTTTGATCCTCCTACTTGGAGTCACATGAAAAGTCAACTCAGTTCTTGTTTTTTGCCCTGAAATTCGTGGGTATTCCCATCACTGCCATTGACACCTGCCCAGAAAGCCTGGAGGAGAGATGGGTGGCTTGTAACGTCTGTTAGGACTTTGTGCTCCTCGCTTAGACACGCAGACGATCCTAGGAGATGTCGAGCAGCAGAGAACTGGTTGCACGGGTCTGTGCCGTGTCCTGAGCTTCTGTACATCACGATTTGATGTTTTGGGCAGGATTGTGTAGGAAAAAAATACCGCTTTCAAAGCCTCTCAGTGACTAAAAGATGCTGACTGAAGGAAGGTCTGTTAAAATTAAAAAGATCCTTGGCAGAAGACGTAAAGAAGTTATTTCGAGTTATATTCGAGATTCTCAAATTAATAACCTACCTAATTACTAAGAGGTGCTAGCAGAGGGAGGCAATCCACAGATTTATTTCAAGGAGGGCATGGTGGAAACTCTCCTCCCAAACCTGGTGATCTGTGGTCTCAAATTAATGACTCGCAGCACTTTTCAGATCCCAACCCTCTTTCAAGAACAATCAGCGCTGTCTGGAAAAGTTTGTGCGGGCACCTCCGGGCGCTGGGGGGCACCCGGGGAGCCACCGTCCGGCGGTGCCGCGGGTGCGCTCTGCGCTTCGTGCGCCGCTGCGGCACCGGGGCCCGCCGGCCGCTCCAGACGCCGCTTCCCGCCCCAAT